CCCGGAACACGAGGAGTGTACCTTGTTGTTTCTCTCTGGGCCTGTTGGCTTGAGCATCCCCTCCTGCCTCCCAGTTCATGCTTCCAGGTATATGATTTAATGAAAGGCACAATAAGAAGTGAGACAATTAGAATTTCTGCCTCATTATCATGGTGATCTTATCAGTGGGATAATGAGGTATTAATGGAGATTTAATGTGCCTCTCATAACACAATCCCTTGGAGAAAACACATAAGGAAATTGCTGTAAATCCACTTAATGATGGAAAGGTCCCCAAACGCTATCTTCCAGGGGATGAAAAATGCCAGCAGCGAACGAATGAGATTCAAGGTCAATCACACGGCAGGGACCAATGGTATGAGCGGCGGCTGTGATGGGGAAACTGGTTTGGTGGCATGTCTGGCAATTTGCAAAAGGCCTTTTCTGGCATAGGAGGGTGAGAGGAGAATTAGTCTGGCAATGTCCTGGCTAGCCGCTGGGAAGGCCTGTGTCGAAATTGTGGGCGCCAAAGAGAGGTGCAGTGAGAACTCTTCTGCACCCCGTATTCATGCGTAGGAGCTGACCAAAAATGTATCTGGGCTGGAATCTTGCTTCTCACCATAGTCAACCCGTTGGGTCCAGGAAGGCCTTCTCCACCCGTGGGGACTGCAGCGGCGCTGACTCCAGCCATGTTGTCCACCTCCTTTCTCTTGCCCACAGTCACCCGCAAGGTGCTCGCAGCTCAATTTGGCCGGCTTTCTCCCTCTTGTTACCTTATCGTGTGTGCTGACATATCACTTGATGATTCATACTGCTTTTGAGCACCCCGAGTTCTGAGTCTGCCACATCAGAGCAGTGTAGCCCAGCTCCGCTATCCTGGGCCTGTCGAGGCCCTTTTGCAAGATCCCGGCCACAGAGGGACCTGCCTGCCCCAGCTCAGATCAGATCACCCAGATAGGCCAGCTCCACGCCCCGGCATGCAGGCTGGGCCGCAGAGGCGAGCTATCCAAGTTTTCAGGCTGAACCAACTCCTCCTGCGTCAGGGTGCGGACATGTGAGCCCATATGCAGTCCTCTGGGCGTTTGTTAGTCCGTTTGTTGTTTAGTACGCTTCTCCCACTCCTTCTGCCTGTTTCCACCAGGGAATGAAGGGCACAGAATGCAAGAGATTCCGCACCCCTTAACACTGGAGCTAAAGGAATGCAAATAGTCAGATATGTTCTCCAGTTTTCCTGCTTTCACTTTCTTTCTAGTCTAGTGTAACGACTTGGGTACTTTTGGCATTTTGGCTGGCTTTGTTTTTGTTTAAAGAAACCTGCCGTCTCTTTCTGGTACTGGGGGGAGGGGGGCTCCTTGGCCCTCTGGTTCGTATGCGCTCAGCCCCGGTGGAGCCCTGGATGACAATCAGCAAGGCGGCAGGTCAAAATTCTGGCGGAGTGAAATTCAGCAAGGGAAGGTTTTTGCTGCATAGAGGTTAAATGATGGAGAAAGTTTTAGCTAATTAGTTTCTGTTTGATGCATTGGAACAAGGCCAGTTTGGTGTGTGCGAGGCTTTCTTAAGATGATAATCCTCCTCGGTGTCCATTACCCTGATGTGTAGTGCTGTTCATCTGCTCACTGCAACTAATATCCCTTGTTTAATCTTCTGTTTCAACAACAGTTCCCTACATACATTATCCCCTGCTGTTGCCAAGCATCAGGAAAAATGTGTGAAACAATGGCAGAATCACAGAGGGCCACGTCCCCCCGTAGCACTGTCCCTTGGCATGCGTTGTCCTCGGCAGCCACCCCCTCCCCACCCCACCCCAAGGTCACAGAAGTCAAGCCGGTACTCTACACTGCCCGAGCCTGCAGTGAGCAAATTTGGCCACTAGATGTCGCTCCAGGAACACAAACCTAACATTCAGGCAAGGTTGAGCTGTGACTTTGTGGCGGGTGGAAATTCAACAGGCGAGTCTCTCCATGTTTCTCTGCCAGGTAGATATGTGCATTGTAACCACCTGCATCTCCTAAGCTGCAGTTCTAAACATCTATTTCACGGAACTTGGTCGGACATGCCTAGGATTGCGCTGCAAACGGGCAGCTAAAAACAGCTGTTTTCCTTCACATCAGGACTAAGTTAAATGGGAAACTCAGGCTGGGTGTTACCAAGATACTCTGAAGCCAAGGATGCAGCCAAAGCAAGCTAATGTAATGTTCACTTCAGTAGCCCAAGATTCTTGCAAGTAAGTCATTCTTGCAGTTTTTGTGACCATTATGACAGTGCTGGACAAGACACTGCGTAGTTCAGGAGGGCAGAAGTTACTTCTTTCAGAGCAGCAGCCGAATTCCAATGTTGGGTGTTGGGCTGGGCCAAAGGAAAAGGTGTGGGGGGAAGCTCCCTGCAAACCAGCCTGGTTTAGTCCAAAGCTGTTGCTGGCTGTAACTAAACCCTCACAGAGGCAACATAGCCGTTCAGAATGGAAGAACTACCAGCCGACTGGTGGCCCAGGGAAGCTGAGGGCATGGTGCACAGATCTTTCTGGGGGAAAAGCCCCGTTCGGAAGGCGAACCCCAACACCAGGCCCAGTGGAGCCTGAGCATGCCAGTGCACAGATGTTAGTGGAGTAAAGAGGTAGAATTGAATGGCGTCTCCCAGCAGGCGGCTCAGCCACCCGGCTGGCTGGTATGATCTGCAGTGGCTGGCAGGTGTCCATTCCATTAATCAGAGTAATCCTTGTGTTCAAGTTGTCTAAACTAGAAGCGATCTCTCTGTCTCGTGGCAGTGAATTCCATCCATCGGCTATTCTAACCCTTCATCTTACAGGCAGGAACTCCAGTAGTGAATTATAATTAAGGTAATTCTGAGGTAATGATGTTGCATGGAGAGAGATGATCTTTGTTAGAAGCGGCATAAACACATCTGCAAGACAGATGTGATGGGGAAGGCATTTGTTCAGGAAAGGCTGCTGGAATAATGGTTGGTCGTTAAAGCACAATGGAAAGGCACGGTTTTGCTTCTTCCCCGGCTTGCTTTGCCAGAGCCAAAACTGCATCCCTGGAAGTTAGCCTTGGGGTCTGCAGAGAAAGAAAGCCCCCGTGAGCGACCCACCCGAATTCATGCGGAAACGATCGAGCAGCCAAACGCTCTGGGCCGTGGCAGCGAAACACCGTTAAGTGGCCTGGACATAACAGGGATGAGTGGACCTTCACTTTCAGGCCGCCGCGAAGCTTCTGGTTGGCTTAATATGGGGAGCAGAACACGAGATGGGCCGAGCCTTTGACCAAACCCGGTGGGGCCCTTCTTCTGCCGTGCCAGATTCTCTCCCTGAACATGCAGGACCTATGCTGGCCTCCCCACCAGCCCGGGATCAGGCCCCGCCAGAAGGGTGGCGCCTCAGCTAGAGAATGAGCAGCTTCCTGCCAAAAGGGGGCATTCAGAGCTGGCAAGCTCGCTCGTTTCTCCTCACCCCCTCCCCTTTCTTGTGTCCTGCTTAGTCGGTTGCAGGTCTGAGGACAGGTCTGGCTCCCGGACCTTCACAGGCCCAGCCCGGCCAGGAACCTTTGCCATGGAGGGGCAGGCAGAAGACGATTCAGATAGCGAACATTCCCGCTGCGCTTTTCGAAGGTTGCGCTGTGTGACCGACGCTCATTCGAAGGCCAGCGAGGGAAGAAGCAACTCTTCCATGGGGTGTAGACCCTGGGTTTCGTTGCTGGCTATGAACTGTGCCCCCGGCTGTGGAATTTGGCAGAAGCCCAGCACCTCTGGCCTGTGCCACGCCAGGAGCAGCACAGCAGCTCAGTTCAAGCATGAGAAAAGCATGAGCACCACTTGGTTCTGCCTGACTGTTAAAGATTAAGAAGCTGAACCATGTCCCCTCTTTTGTTTTTGTGGGCTTTGGGCTACTTGCCGCACGCTCTCATTCTTGAAGCGGCACGTAGAGTCAAGGCTTGGCATTCTTTAAAACACACACCCACACTTCTCATCAAGGAAATCTGAATTTCATAAGCTCTGTGTTTGGCGTCTGAAATAGACGAACTCATTATGGCTGAACTTGTCAGAAAGGAAGCTTGTGCTAGGCAAAGACGCCGTACCTCCAGCCCAGCTTAGGTCTGCACCCCGGGCACGACGACAGAGCGGTTGTGGAGGGCTGTGTGCGCCTGCACGGGGGGGGGGGGGGGGGGGGGGGAGGAATGTCTGCCACACCGTCTCTGCGCACTGCTGCTGCTTCTCTGGATTTGGCTGCTGCACCAGGAACTGCATGCTCTGCCTTTGTGGCTGTGAATGTATTGTGTAGTTGGGCCACGGCATGTAACTCCTCAGCATCTCCTGCATGGCATTCTCTTCCTCGTGGGGCGTTGTGCCCCCAGGCTGTGTGAATGAACCTGGGGCAAGTGAGGGCACTACCACTCCTCCCTGGCCCCTCCCTTGGCAATGCCTCTTCCGGCACCTCCTTTTCAACATTCAGCCTTGATACCAAGAAGATGGCTGTTCAGGTGGTTTAGCAAGCACCTGAGTATAGAAATATCCTTATTTTGCACTGTTTGGTGCCTGGAACCATTTCCCAGACCACCGTTTTAGGTATGTCTAGCTTGTTTCCCTTCCTTTCCCCCCATGACATAAAGCATGGATCCCTGTATTTTGCACGCAAGTTGCTTTATTGTGATCAACCATCAAGAGTTCAGCATATTCTGAATGCTCATGTCTATTCTTTCCAGTATGTGTTAATTCACTGAATGCCACTACCTTGCATTTGTGCAAATGAGCCCAAAAGTTAAAGTTTCTTGCAAGTACAAACCAGGTAATCCACTAGCCTACTTTTAAAAATGTAGCCTTCATAGGTGGCCTGAAAAGCCCTGTTTTGGGAAGACAACGCTGACATGGAACCAGAGATGCAGTTGTCCACAGCATTGCAGGAGAACAGACGGGGCAAAGCCATGGGTCGGCAACCGTCGCACACCAAGCGTTGTGCAGTGCACCGCGTACAGTCGGATCCGCAAGTGGTAAAGACGACGGCAGCAAAAGGAAGATACAGCCGAGACTTCACCCAAACCCTGGCGTATGTTTTTAATACGAATAATCAAAATATATATTACAGTTTCTGGTATCATAGGGAAAATGCTGTTTGGGGTTTGTACAGTATACACAGTATTTCAGAAGGAAAAAAACTCCAAACATAACAAGGTATTGATGCTTTTTCTTATATTAGAACTTCTCTTCAAGCAATTTATTTCTCTATAAACCCCAAACTCCACATCTTTTGTGCAACAGATGAAGCCTCTAATGCCCTGTCCCCAAATTAAAAGCAAATATGCTAATGAGAAAGCCCTGTGAATTAACTTCCAGTTTTAGTAACATTCGGTAAGCATTTACATTTTAATAAATACTTGGGGCTTTGGCCCTTTCCTCGCAAAACTTAGCTTAAATTCCACTGAAGTTTGTAGCACTGCCGTGGCCAGACACGTGGGCTGGCCAGGCCAGGCCAACTATGGCAGAAGGTTCGTCGAAAGTATCACAACTGTTCTATTTACACTGCAATCTCACGATTCAAGTTTGCCTATTGGTGCCCGCTTGCTGCGAACGGTCTCCCGTGGCTGGTGCCTTCCGCTGCCTGCCCCCCTCCCCTCAAAATGCATCGTGTGAATAAGGATCATTAGAAAGTGCTTACTCACGCTTCCACCCCGGCTCCCAAGTTTTATTTATTTTTTTAAAAAAACCTTACATTTGTTTAAAAAATGAGTGTGAACTGAAGCATTAGAAAAAAGGCGTTCACATGGATTTTGTGGCAGCAGAGAGAAGGCCTGGGGCTCCCAGGATACCTTTAGCATATGGTCCCTTTTTATTATGATTTGACACAGTGCTAGTTTTAGCTTTTTCTTTAGGGAAAGAAGAACTTCTTAAAAAAAAAAAAGACACACACAACCAAATCATACCCCACACCACCCACTCGGAATTAGTTTGATTAGTAAAGGTTTTGCTTTAAAATGCCTGGATTCTGTACAATATTTACACACAAAGGTGTTTTTGTTGGTTCTCCATCGCTGTGGAGGGGCAGGGGAACAGCAACGTACATTCCTAGAGGTCCTCCTCTCCGGGCAGGTTTGTGAAGAGCAACGCTGGCGTGGGTCACTTCCGCTCGTCGATGGTCTTGATGAACTCCACTGCCGCTGTGAACTGCATCCACCAATAGGACTCCTCTCCACTTAAGCTGTTGGCATAGAAGCTGCTGATGTACTGAACAGTGGACAGCAGGCAGGGCGGGTTGGCCTGGAGGAGAAAGCAGGTATATGGTAAGCGTGACACACAATCCAGTCGGAAGGAGGCCCTGGTGCCTGGGTGCGGATCACCTGCTGGCCGGAGTTCTCCCCGTGGCAAGGCAGGCAACTGACCACCCATCTCTGCAGTGGGCAGAGGACCACCAGGGACAGCGGAAATCTTCTTCCAGGGAGCCGTTCCCCATGCCCATCCCAGAACGGGGGCTCTGGGTGGGGTGAGGCTTCTGCAACAGCCCCATAACTGTCTGGTGGGAGGGCAGAGGCCTCTGAAATCTGCATGGACCTGCCCCATCCTACTGCTTCACTCAGTGAAGACCCGGCCTAAGGACAGAAGGGGGGGGGACCGGGGCTCACCCCTCAAGTCACCTGCACGCAGCAGCTCCACCTCACCTTGATGAGCACAAACACGAGCACAGGGACGAAATCGTCTGCCCCGGGGACGGAGTCTTCATTGGCCAGGCTCAGCAGGTTCATGATGGTGGAGCACATCCGCAAGACACACTGCAGCTTGTCCCGCGGGGTCTTGTAGGCGCTGATGGTGCGGATTTCAGACTGCGCTGAGGGCCACGGCGCTTCACGGAGATAGACCTGCCAGGAGAAACACCTTGCTTCTAGCGCACACCGCTCTAACGCAAGAGGGGACTGGAAAAGGGGTGGCGAGCGTTCCGGTAAACAGGGAGGAGCACGCAGGGCCTACGGCCTGGGGCACCCGACTGGACAGCAGCACGACTGGCTAGGGAACTGAGCCCACAGTCCAGGAGTCCACAGGATGGAAGCCGATTCGGTGGCGCTTAGCGTGGATCCCCAGGACCGAGGCTGCACGCCTTCCTTTCTGTGCACAGGATGAAGCTCCAAGGGCTTTAAGCCGGCCACCTTTTCTACCTTTCTCTGCCCTGCTCTCCACAGCTGCAGCACGGGGCACACCCACCGCGAAGACTTTTAAAGATGGCAACTGGATCACACACACGAAGCTCTCCAAATGCTTATTGCTATTATTACTGACATATCAAATGAAAGAGGGGAGACCGGCAGAGCGAACTCCACGAATGAGGGGATGGTGGATCCTAGTTCAGTGTCGCCATCATGACATTTCTCGGTCAGCCAACCATGGCAGAAACAAAAGTACAGCAAAGCTTCACACAATAAGGGGCAAAGCGTTCTGTCCCGCACATCCCAGTGTGATTGCTCACAGGTGCACCATGTCAAAGGACCAGCCCATCAAGGGCCACGGAGTATGAATATTACCTCAGGGATCTGAAGTGCTTTATGGTTCGCTGTCACCACTTTGGATAACCTTTGGATGTGATCGTGAAGAAGCCTGGAATGGGGGAGGCATGGGGCAGGGAGAGAGAGAAGGGCAATTTAAGCAATGCAAAAGGCAGAAACGTCTTTGTCCTGGGAGGGCCTCGTGCATCATTTCCCAACATGCTGCCTCACTGGTCACCCTCCACCTGAAATCCAGGGAGGCTCCTTTAAGCGGCAGAAGCTCCACTTGATCGACTGACTGATCTGCTCAAGACTTCGGCACTAACAGAAGCACAACGGTCCAATTCGGAACAAGCGCGTTTAGGCCAATCAAGATGATCTACTGCATTATATATCTTAAAACTTCTTTTGAAATGCTGTGAACTGCGCGGAGAGCTTCCACTATGGGGTGGCATAAAAATTAAACAAACGGGTGAACAAACAAACCGGGATCTATTTTGTTTTTTAAAGGAGTGTGATAAAGCACCGGTGGGGCCAGCACACAAAAGAGCGAGGCCAGGAAGAGGGCTCCCCATGCTGGCCAAGGAGAGTGGGAACTGCAGCCCAACTCCTCTCGCCGCCGTACTCACTGGTCCCGCAGGATGTCCCCGTCCTGGTTGGGGTAAAAGGCCAGCTTGAAGATGCGGTTCATGACACTGCGCTCGATGGCCAGCTGGGCATCTTGGAGCTGCTCCTCACTGGCGTTCTGCCAGATGACGTCTTGCGCCATGGCCCCGTACAGGAACTGCAGGAAGTCCTCCACCTGGGCCGTCTTGTCATCGGCCGCGGTCAGCTTCTGGAAATCTTTGGGCACAGGGCAGAGTGGGGAATCGGGGAGGAGGAAAGGCCCTCAGGAACCTCCCCAAAGGAGGCTCCTTCTGCAGGCCTAACCCCGGAAAGTCCCGGCTGTTGAGCCCTGCTGCGCGGCTGGGCCACTGTTCCAGTCTCGCAGCCGAGCTGGGAGGAGGACGGGCTGCACCTCAAGGCTACCCTAGAAGAGCCGGAACTGGGTTCGAGCAACGCTTCCTGCAGCTGGGGACCCCTGGTTCCAAAGGGGGCGCCACTTTCCCTCTCCCCTGCTCGGAGGCACTGGACAGATGGGCTCGAGGGGCGTAATCCACATCCTCTTGGCAACATCTGTTTCGATGGGAGCTGAGCAGGTCAAGGCAGGCTATGCCTGGGCAGCTGCAGGAAGCGTTCTGTGGGGCTACGCCCTGCACCCCCTCTGCCGTGCTGACCTCAGACCCCCACGCCCCACATCATCGAGTTACTTCAGCCAGCGGCAACCAGTGAGGGGACAAGCTCTCCCAGCCCGCTTCTGCGAAGCCTCGGCAGCTTATCCAAAGGCGGCCGAAGCTTCGCCACCAGTGGATCCAAGTGAATTCAGGGTGCGCCTCTACGCGTGCTTAGAAAGAAAAGCCCCAGACAAGTCGCCAAAGGGCCAGCTGGGAAAGCCTGGAAGCCGCAGGACCGTTTTCCATCCGAACACGTATTTGCTATTTATTGCACATACTTCACTGTTACTAATATTTTAAATAAACCTTTCATCTCCCCTCCAAAGAGAAAAGCTTTCACCTCACCCTTTCATCTTCAGGACACTGTAAGGATGCAGGGAGACAGGGAATGGCCTGAAGCCCCCGGTGGGGGGGCTGAGAGTGGGGCGGATGCCCAAGGCTCCCTCGACCACTGTCTGGCCAGCTCCCCACCCTGCCAAGTCTCCGGGGCGACACAAGCGGCGCTACCTTGAATGAATTCCCGTATCTTGGACTCCTTGCTTTCCAGCAGCAGTCGCACGCACACAGTGGTGAAGTACCGGTTGGCCACTTCTTTGTCTCGCAGGACCCTCTGCAGCAGCCTTTCCAGGTGGGCCTGGGTGGTCTGGAGGCCCTGGCGGCACCGCGTCAGGTAGGCAATGTAGGGAGCCCTCTTCCTGGGGGGAGGGGAAAGGACGTGCGGCTCAGAGGCCAGCCGCTCGCCAGGGGAGGGGAGCTCGGCCAGCAGGGTATCTGTCTTGGCCTTAGACCCTTTCCAGGCGAGCTCTCTGAAGGTGGCCTGGATCAGTCGCCATCATGGCATCCAAGCCAGCCAGAAGTGGGCAGGTTAATTCCTGGCTTGCAGAGCGAGTGGCATCTCTGGGCCCTGCCCGGGTTCTCCTACAGCAACACAAGTGGAGACCAAGACAGCCACAGCCACTGCCACTGCCACTGCCCACTTCCAGGAACTGTGGCTAGAAAAAGCCACCGGGCACCAGGTCGGGGAAGGCTCTTCCAGGCAGCCGAAAGCACGGACGGCACGGCTGCATCCACGGCTAATAAAAGCGCTCTTCCCAGAAGAGAACCCCACCAGGGCTCACCTGTAATCCTCGGCTATCGAGGCCAGGAGTTTGCGGCAGGTCCTGTTGTCGAAGCGGCCGACACAGCGCATGGTCTCCTGCAGCTGGGCCATCAGGTTCTTGTCCTGGAGGTTAATGGCTTCGGCTAGCTGGACTTTTAGGAAGCACACGATTTCGTTGTCTGGGCAGGGAGGGAAGCAGGAGATGATAAAGCAGCCCTGCGGCAGCGGCTCCCACTGAGCCTGGACTGGGGGCAACAGTGCTGCCCAGAAATGGCCACAACGAGATCCTGTGGACTGGCCAGGCCTCGCCGCGCCTCGCCTCCTGCCCGCTCTTGCTCTTTCTGGCCACCATTTTCTGAGAACGAACGAACGGTCTCCAGGAAAGGTGTCAGCACGTTCAGGCTCTCCCCTACTGCTCAGCGCATCTTTTTAAAGGCCACTGGTTTCGGCACTTGCAGGGCCCCATGCGCCTGGGCTCACACGCTCCATCAAACCCCACGTCCACACAGACCATCATTCTGTTTCCCACCATGGCCTACCAGATCCCTTGAGAATGCGCTTCAAGTCTCAGGGCTTTTGGGTAACCTCAGCGAGCGAGAGTTACCTTCAGGGTCCGTATGGTCTGGAAGGCCATTTCGTGTGGAGTGCGACAGCATGGGGAACGCCACGGAGTCTGCGGAGCAAAGAGCAAGCCGCAGTTTCTTCTTTGCATCCCTGCAGGAAACAAACAATTTTCATTTCTGCCTTTATCAGGCCAGGCAGCGTGGTGAGCCGAGGTTCCTCCTTCAACCAGCCACAGACCATTTTCCTTTTCTTGCTCCCGAGTGACAATCGCCCAGGATGGATCTCCGAGCATGCACAGAGTGGTTTGTTGAAGTCAATCCAGGGTTTACCTCCAGGAACTCTCCTTAGGAGCATGCCTGGCCCCCGTCCCCTTGGGAGGAGCTCTCTGAAGGGGAGCGTGGCTCCTCTCTGCGTACTGCTCATTCAGTTGGGCCTCCTGTCTCTGGTGATGCCTGGCCAGGAGGTCACCAAGTCTCCTGGCCTGCACCTGAGAATTCCTCATCCGCCTGGCTCGGCGAAGCACCTAACCTTGTCACCATCTCCTCCTCCTGCATCTCAGAATCTTGACCAAGCCCACCCTCCCACTTTCCACTCTAACCTGCCTCACTTTCTGGCCTGGAATGCAGCCAGCACTCCGAGAGCGCAATTGCCCTGGGCCGCCGTGCTTCTTATGCGCAGCAGGCAGGGTATCAACTCACAAGAGTTCTGTAAGATGAGAGCATGGCTGGACCATCAGTTATGGAGACCAGTGCCTTACAGGAGCTTTTCCTACGTCTACTCGAAAATCTCCTTTCTCTCCGCATCCCTGTGCTAAGCATCATTCAGCTTGGTGCCCTCTCTCTGGATCACACTTCTTCCCAGGTCCCCAACTTCTTCTCTGCCTCACACCCAACAGGTCCCTTCCCTCTCTCTGGGCTGGCTCCCTCTCACACACACGGACACATTACCTGTAGGAGAAGCCAGAATCCTGGGGCTGAGCTGCTTGGCTGGCAGAATCCGGGAGGTCGTCTGCAGACATGTTCTGCAGGTGGTCATCCCGGGGAGAGTCGTGGATGCTTTCTCCATCTCCAAGGGCATCTGCACACGCCCCACCGAAGGAATGTGGAACAGTTAGTCCCATTGGGTGAGGAGCAGGGCGTGGTCACATCTCCCCCCCTGGAGAAAGCCTTGCTGGGTTGGGCCAAAGATGCAGGCACGCTCACCTGTGCTATCATAGCTCGCCACGGCAGCCTCGTTGGGGCTGGTCCGTTTGATCGCGTTCCGGTATTTGTCCAGGATGTCTTCTGCGGCCTGGGCCTGAGCACTCAGCCTTGGACCAGAATCATCTGAAAAGCCAAGTGAGATCACCATAACCGCAGGTAAGAACCTGTTTCTGCCACAGGTGGGGGCCAAAGTACCAAAGGCTTCATGGGCCAGGTGGTGTTGTGCAGCAACTACCAACAAGATGCAAGAACACAAAAGTGCCGCCAACATCTCACCACGCCTGGAGCAAGGCTCTCTCCTTTCCCCCCGAACCAGATGTGTGCGGAAGAAGGCTGTAGGAACACAGAGTTCAGGAAAGAGTGTTTCTTTACAAAATTTATATCCTGCTTTGGACACGTCATTTCATAATAGTTTGGTTCACGTGCACGAACAAAAGTACTGATGCACAAGCTTCATTCTCAGCACGGTTAATGACTATGGCTGATAGAGTTGTTCCCCAGCAGCGACACGATGCAAAATTCACACATACACTCGGCAAAGATTCATGAGTTCCCTTCAGAGTGGAACTAGCAGGCTACCAGGAACGGTTTAACACAGCCGTGTGCCAATAACCCTTCCAGAATGACCATTCTGCAAACAATTGTACCAGCCTGCTAAGCAGTCGGAATGGTGCATTTCCATGCCCTTCCTGCTCCCATCAAGAGTTCCCAATGCCCCCCTGCGCGCGCGCACAAACACTATGGAATTCCCACTGTCTCTTGAAGCGGCACCAATGGTCAGCTGCAGCCGCATCCCCGACAGGACACTTCTCCCTGCACAAGGACGCCACATTTCCTTCCCTCTCTCAGACAAGACACACACCCAGCCCCAAGTGCCACCGTCCAAGATGAGCTGCACTATTTGACCCTTACAGACTGGCCTCCAGCTGAACATCTTCAGTTGGCAAGGAGTAATAGATCCTGCTTCCCTGGTCAAAGCCTCTAACAACAGTGCTGAGGGTCTGTTTGATTTAACAGCAGATCTGGAAAACAGCATAGGTTCCAGATATGCCTGGGAGGAGGAAGAGCAGCAGTCAGAGCGAAGGAGCCGGAAGGCATTTGGCACAAACCTTGAAGAGAGCCATATCTATCAGGCACAAAGTCCTCTTTGTCCTTCTCTTGTTTTTCTCTTTTTCTGAATGGAATTGGAGCTGGGAATTGAGAGGGGAAAGCAATAATCAGCATATTTTAATTCAAAACAGGAACTTCCTGACAGCCCTGTTTCTACATGCATATCAAAAAAGGGACACATCTCCCAACCATGGAGGAAAGCAGGACTGAGGTGGGGGTGGGGAGTCCCAGACCCTGGGCCCGAAAGAACTTATTTATTTATTTATTATTTATTTAGCAGACTGCTATGCCGCCCCATTCGCCTAAGCCTCGGGGCGGCTTACCAATAAAACTTGGCCATGTGCCCATTTTAAGCAATATTGGGACGGGGAGGATTGCTTTCAATCAGAGTCAGTCTTCCTTCAAAGCTGTCACCATTCAGGCAAACAAGTTTTTGATACCTTTTTTAACAGCATGAACAAGCCAACTGCATTGGCAAAACAACAGAACTTGGCATACACTCTGCCCGCAATTCCTGACATACTGGTTCTATTTTCTCTGAAGAGCAAACGCCACAAAGCTGCCAGTCCAAAGTTTATACAAATAGTAAAGGGGTGTGTGTGTGTGTTTTGCATTGCTGAACATCTCCCCTTTGCCCTCTTGGCACTAACCTCTAGATGAAGGGTTTTCCCTGTCCAGGTAACCTTATGTGGAGGCTTTAGGCTTTCAAAACTTTTCCGATTGTCATATCTGAACTAAGAGAGCTGACAGGATCAGTGTCACAAGTGAGATGACATTGCTGTTCCTGATTTAACTGTGTGAGTAGGCTCTCTCCATGCACTGGGGGGGACGGGGTGGTGGTGTCTGTCATATAGCAAGCTTCTTTTAAAACTAGAGGGAGCCTGGAATGCAGTTGGATACCTGGCATGCAGTTCCACCATTTAAAGACGGAACAGTCCAACTGTGTTGACAAAATCCTTGGGCATTCCAAAACTAGCCCTTCAGAGCCTAATCCATAAATATATGCAATATGCATTTATCATCACTTCTAGTGATAAAAATCCTTAAATGGGTGAGGAGTTTTTTCCCTCCGATCACAGTTAGAAATATGCTTGATTTTCCCATCTGAAGGTTTTGTCACATGGCTGCTTCTTTCTGAAACTGTCACACACAGCCTACAGGTTTGATTTCAGGTGACCTGTCCTTACTCCTCTTGGGAGCTGGGCGTAGCGTGAAAGCTGTCATAGGCAACCCTCTGCGTACAATCAGAGACAAGGGGTGCGTGGGTGGGAGGGAAGCGGAACACTGCTCTGAGCGTGCCATCTGAAGGCTTTTTTAAAATTTCAGGCTGATATATATTGCCATAAATAGATATGTTATTATGAAATTGCTGTTCATGTTCCAGTTGAATATAAACAGACAACATAGTCGATGATTATATTTTTGAAAAGGCATGATAAAATAACTTTAACTAATTCGCATGCAGTGTCAATGAAAGAACACTGAGAGATAAAACCTCACCTTTGGGCATAGCTGAAACAAAACGCTTTCTCCACCATGGCTTGTTCCGGTCTGATTTCTCATCATCGCTGTCTTTCCGGTCCTCAACCTGCTGACGAGAAATGGGCAGAGTCGGATGCCATCCAAACTGGCAAACATTGGCCTTGATCCAAACCTACAGTGAAATCCTTGTGCATGTCTACTCAAAACTCCCACGTAATTCAGAGGTTTGTTCTCAAACAAGTATATCTCTAACTGAGCTTAAGTCAGTTAAACTTCGGGAAAACAATGCAAGCATCTCTGATTCAAACTGCAATAGAGCCCCAAAAGGACAGAAGAAGTTTGTAGAAAAGCCGCTGCCACGGATTTGAAAAACCCTCTGCAGGGGCCCCAAGGAGCTGGTTTGCCTGCGCGTACCTCTCCTCTGCAGAAATCCTTGCTCGGAGACGAGGAAGAGGACTGCGGGGCCATGTTCGAGGCTGTTCCCGCCACGCCGCTCCCGGGCGCGGAAAGCTCTCGCTCCTCGTTGCCCGCTCGCCTGTTCCACCCGGGATCGCTCATCGGCCTCCGAACGCAGGACACAATGTCCGAGCTCCGGCTCCGCACCAGCCGTTCGGGGTAGGAGTACCGCTGCTTGAAAGCCTCCGAGTCAATCAGTATGGCGGTGTGGGAACCAAAATTGGGCAGCCTCGCGTCGTTGCCCCCCAGGGCCCCCTCCAGGATTGGGGGATCCGGTGGCGGGTGCGAAGGCCTCGCATAGTGCACCTTGGGCCTCACCACTGCTGGGAAAGAGACCAGGGTCCACATACAGTGCCGCTGCTCTCTCCTTCAAACCACCCCAAACGGCTCCTCCTCCCCCCGTCCTCTACCTCGGTCCCACAGCAACAGCCCCCTGAGCCTGAGAGCCTGCAACTGGCCCAAAGTCGCCCACCTGGTTCCCTGGCCAAGCGGGAACGAGGCCCCAGGGCACCCGAGTCCCAGTTCCACGCTCGTAACCACTACAGCACACTGGCTCTCACAGCCCTCGTCACAACTGTTCACCATAACAGAGGCAGAGAGATTACCTTCATGAGAAGACAGGGGGTCGAACATGGCAAGCAAGGAGTCTGCCTGAGAAGGAGGAGAAGTCAGCTGGCTGGCACCTGAAGGGTGGAGAAGAGAGAAGAGGGTCAGCGAGTGCTCTGGGCATCTGCTAAGTGGCTGCACTGATGCATCGCCCGACGACTTGGCCTTGGAAATCCCTGGAGGACACCCACACTCAGCACAAACGCATGCGAGTGAGCCCCCTCACAAGGGAGCCAGGTACAATTTTCGATCTGTCTAAAATTCACAGGTTAATTTCCATGCCAATATTTGGCGGCTGCCACAGAACATCCAAAAGGCTTCAGGTTACAGCCAGGTGTCCTCCAGGTGTGTTGGACTAAGACTCTCATAACTCCCCTGCCAGAAGAGCCAGCTGGGGGATCATGGGTCATCTGGTTATGGGTTTTAAATGGACACCTGAGGAAGATGGGTCACCATCGTCCATCTGCTGGCAAAGTCAGGCCTCCTCTTACCGTGAGCCGTTTCATCCACGTCAGGACTGGTGACTGAATCTTTCCCTCCGAAGTCAGAACTACACTCTGACCGGAGGTCCTCAATCTTGTTTGGGATGTCTTCAGAGGTTGCACTGATACCTGGAAGAAGGCAACGCAGATCTCACTGAGAGAGAAGATTCCACCTTGGCAGAAGTCCAGCAGGCTTGGAAGCAGAGCGCTTCTATGCAGCTCCCTTGAACTGGGAGGCCAGTTTCACTACAGCTAGCATCCTGAGCAGTCTGCTGCCTTGAGAGGCGATGGTACTGATGCACTGCGAGCCGCTGGCGCATCTCCTGGATTCAGGAAACCTGGGCTCCAGTCCTGCCTCGGGCCAGTCACTGAGGCTCTAGCCTGCTTGGCAGCGTGCTTGCAAGAACACCAGGGGGAGATGGAGGAGGCTTCTGAATGCCCACTGTTCAGTGCAGGATGTACATGTAACGGGGAAAGAACTCTCTCCTTTACTTTACAGCCTGATAGCGAGGCGGGTGGAGGAAAAGCACCCTTCCCTCTGGCTTTTGTGCTGCTTGGGCCAGTCGAGAGGCAGAACAGCGACACTTTGTGGTGAGTAATGGTGACCACTCATCCTCGCCCCACTCCAGGGCTCGGAAGACCTAACCGCACCCACTTGCCTTCATCCTTGGATCTCCTATCTTCCCCTCCCTTTGCCTGCTCTCCTCCCACTGCTGGTATTTAGCCTACCCTGCCTCATCTTGGGAACTAAGCAGGGTCAAGCTTGGTTGAAATCGAAATGAGTGACTTAAATGTTGCAGATCTCCCAGGCAGCTCAGCTGCAGGCGGTACAGAGATGTACTGTAATGAACATAATAGTAGTAGTAGTATTAAAAACAAATAACATTATGCCCAGCTTCACCTATTCTGTCCTTCACTGCCTGCTCCCTGCTGGAGATACCCTGGAGCGGAAGCTGGGATCTTGCACAGGTAAAGCCACATGCGGCTGGATGGGCATGCACTCCAGCTTGGGGTCAGGCCAAATCCCAGCCTTCCTGTCCGGGAAGCAGACTCACCCGACACGACGCTGAGGCCGGGCGTGCTGGGGCGGGAGCTGACCTCCCGGACATCGGTATCGTCCGAGGTGCTTCCCACCCCGGAGCAGCTCTCCAGTTCCTGCAGCCGCTCCTCCTGCTTCAGGTCTGGGGCTTCTGAAGGACAGGGGACAGAAGGTGGTGGGGAGAGAAAAACGCAGCACGCCGGTCACCTTCTTCATACTGTCTTCTTGCAACATAAGCAGCAGCAGTTGCTCTGTAAGCTTTCTAACTCCGGAGCATTTCTCCCATGGCCGGCTAAAGCAGAAGCCCTTGCAGAATGGTCACAGATGGCTGGGCGCTTACCTACTGAAGGGCTAATCCTGTGAACATTCAGACAGAATGACGTCCTCCAGCTCCCAGTACGGGCCAAGGCACACTGGGAATCGCAGGCTCCTTTTCTGCCCAGCCATGCTTAAGATGGCACCCCTTCTACGTTTCTGAAATGCTCCCCTGCTCAATTAATGCACAAGGCAATTGGGAGTAAAGCCCCGAAAGTAAAATGCAACCCCAAACAAAACTGAAGCGCAAGAGAGAAAACACACGTGTTGCACTCAAACAGGAGCACCTTGGAAAAGCAGAGAGCAGCATTAATCACTACCATGACGGAACGGTTTTGCTTTGGCCGCCGTGTGAAGGCCGAGAATGAAGCCGATTACAGGCAGAGGCGGACAGGCAGGCTTGGTCTTTCGGATATCCTGCCCCCAAACGGTTTATGCCTTTAAAGGTTCAGGACCAGCACCATGACTTGCGCCCAGAAACGACCTGGAAGCCAGTGGGGTGAGCTGATGGCAAAGTACGGCTATCTGACCTACAAATCTCACATCAGAGAAGAACCTGGAGGCTCTTTCTAAACACTCTTCAAGGACAGGCCTACACGGAGCAGATGGAAGAGATCTAAAGAGGAGGCGATTCATGCATGGATCACTGGCCAGATCCGCCTTCTCTAAGAAGGGGCGCAGCCAAAACTGAGCAGTAGTACTCCTCACTTCAACAGCAGATAGACAGACCATCCAGGGAAAACATCTGGTCCAGAAGCAGCCCCAAGGGGACACTGTGCGGGCGCTGAGCGAGAGAGAACCAGGTCTTAAAGGTGACGAGGAGGTTTTGCTGGCATGGGAGAGGGCTAGAAGGCAGGGAGGGAAGACGAAGGCCATGCTCTCACCCAACACGCTGGAAATGTGCAAACCAAAGCACCCTTATCTTTAAGCCGAGGATTCTAACCTGAATCACTTGGTAATACTTCAACGCTCCAAGCTTCACTGGTGGTTTCAGAGATGGTTGAGCCCGTGCAAGGGTCAAACAACACCGATCCCGAGCCAGGCAAGCAAAGCAAGCTTCCCAGCATGTTCTCTGCTGCAGCACCTAGGGAAGCAGCCCTGACATTGTCAAAGGGGGGGAGGCACCCAAAAGGAATCCCATTTCCCCCTCCGTTGCTCCTGGCTTTTGCACTCATGGAACCTCCACCAACATGGTTCTCCCCCCCAGCCCACAACAATGTAGATTGTGTTATATAATATGGGTCAAAGTACAAGCGAATACAGGCAGTCCCCAGGTTACGAACGAGTTCCGTTTCTGAGAAAATGGAAATGCGTCTTTAAGGCAAGTTGGCAAGTAAGTCAGTTCTCATATAGCTGGCCCTCCAAATTTGCAGGGGTTCGGGCTGCAGGATTCCCACAAAAGTGGAAAAACCACACATATCTCTCGTGCCACCCACCCAAACTCACCAGTGCCTCCTCTTGGCAGCAAGAAATCCTCCCTCTCCGGTTGGGGCAGGAAGGCCTCCTTAGGCGGCCTCCCTATCTCCACTTTCACTTCCTCTCTCTGGTGGCAATGCTTCTCCACAGTAATTTTTAAAAATTAATAGGCCTTCTCACAATTCATTTGTAAGTATGGGTTGTTCATAACTCAGATGTTTGTAACTCGGGGACTGCCTGAACAAAATTCTCGGACAGGTGAGGAAAAAAAAGCTTTCTATTTTACGACTTATTTTGCAAGACACACAGCAGAATTTAATGGGTAACACCAGCCAGACAGTCCACTGCTCTCCAAGAGCTTGCCACTGTCCACGTGGGTCACACATGCTCACGGTCCCGTCCCAGAACAATGTCCAACCCCAAGAAGTGCAAGTTCCCAACGAAACAAGGTTCCCAGAGTTGTGTGCTGACCAGCGAGAGGACTGATTACCCGTGATTTCTTGCAAGCGGTCCTCGTCAATGTTCGGATCAAAGTCGCTCCCCAGAACGTCAGTACTCCACGTCTCGCTCACGGTTTCGGAGATGTCCCTGTCCTCCGTCAGCCCCATCATATCGCGAATTTCAAATTTGCGGAGCTTGTCATCAAGATTATCCTGGGTCGTGGCTGCCACAAAGACAACTTGGATCGGAATGCTGCTCATCCCCGCACATTTGTTCGGAGGTGAGGGGATTTTACTTTTGGGGTGGGTAGGGGAGGAAATGGGGAAAGGGCAGAGCAGACGACAGCCCGAATGGCGCGGTGCAAAGATGGAGAGCAGCTCTCTTGCACCTCCAATGGGGGTCAGTGGAATTTTGGAAGGGGCAGCCCATCCCCAGACAAGACGAAGCGGCCAGCTCGAAGCTTCTCTTCAGCTCAACTTTCGCAAGCAGGAGCAGGCGCTGGCTGCAGAGGAGGGGGATCGGCCTGCAGACCGTGCATGAACATGGAGAAAGCAGCCCATTTCAGCACCTTCCCCACAAGGCACAGATCTGCTTCCCAGGTTTTCAGGAAAACCATTTGAGGATCAGATTCAGAAGATGAGAAGGAGATCTATTTAACAGCCAGGGGCTGTTACTCAGCTGTACACACACACACCCTTCAGCAAGTGTCTGCCCAATCCTTGGTTGAATTAGGACATCCCATGTGAGTAAAACACAAAGATTGACAAGCATGGCAAGTTAAGAATACGCTGGTGGCTAGGATGAAATGCAGGACCAGGACCTTAAAAAGCCGATGACTAGTATCAGAGGCAGCATTTGACAGCCAAAGCAATAAAAGGAGAGCTAGTGGAGTGGTTAGAGCAATCTTTCCAAACACAGTGTCCTCCAGATGTTTGGACGGACAAAAGACCATTAGCTGTGAGGACACCATCTTGGGGAAGGCTGGATTGGAATGCCAGGCTGCAGCCAGAGAGACATGGTTCGAAGCCCTCCTTTGGGACAAAGCGCATTCTCTCAGCTGGACCAACCTCATGGATTGTTGTGAAGATAAAATGCTGCCGGGGGGCGGGGGGGGAGGGGAGATAACCATGTGCACTGCCCGAAAAGCCTCTCAAGCAGAATGAAAATCCATGGAAGGGCCTCCTCGGTTTTATGATCTGCAAGAGGCTAGCACCTCCAGGTGACCTCGGCTACCCGGACTGACCTTGCTCGTGCTCCAGCAGCTGCAGGGCTTCCACGCCATTGCTCCCTGATGGGCCTGCCCCCAGCTCGGACACTGATTCCCCTTCCAAATCCAGCGAGGACACAGAATTGGAGCGGTTGGACGGGCCTGTTGAAAACACACAGCGTGGTCAGCCGGATCCCCCACAAAAGGGCGCGACAAAGTGCAGCAAGGACGACGGGGGGCAGAGCGAAAGTGACTAGGCAAAGGTGTGCACGCACACGCACGCACGCACACGCACGCAGCTGGTTCGACACAGACCGGCAGATGGAAGAAGCGGGTGTCACAAGGCTTACAACAGCAGCTGCAACAAAACATAGCGGCTACCATGAGCAGAAGCTCCATTTGAAAGAGACCTTCTGACAGACAAGAAACCAAAGCAACCCTTCACCTTCAGATATGCCTTCCAGATTATCACTGCAGAGGGAAAAGCGCAAGGTTTTATCAGGTTTACCGTGGAGCTTGGTTTCATCAACAGGGACATCTCCTTGCCCTCCATCAGCAAGCTGCATGTTTAAAACCTGGTAAGGTGGGGGCAGAGGAAGAGGGGAAACATGTCAGCACATGGGTTTTCCCATCCAAATGGCAGGTTAGAAACATTTGGTACATCTTAAATGGTTGAGATGATGCACGCAACGACAGAAAAAGGCCCAGTGGGCCAGCTGGAGAATGCTAGGAGTTAGGATACTATGTCAGTTATGTTAATTTTAGCATGTCTAAATGTGCTTAAGTTGGCACCCTCAGTGACTCTGCAGCCTCTCTAGCTTCTAACTTGGAACTTTCCCAGAATAGCTCAGCTTTTCCTGAGCTGCTGACCTCCAGATGCACTGGACCAGCATCATGCAGTCAGAAGGGGCCTAAGAGACCATTTAGTCCAACCCCCTGCTCAATGTAAGCCTGCACTGCAGCTGACAGACCATCCTGTCTTTAAATGTCTCCATCGAAGGCAACCAGCTCCACTGCTGGCTGGACCTCCCTGTTTGGACATTTCTCTTACTAACCACATCAGCCGCAGCCAGAAAAGCCAACTGATGGGGATTGTGGGTGCTGAAGTCCCAATCAGCTGGAAGGCCCCGGTGCTTTTCCAGCTTGCTCAAGGTCGTCGAAACAGAGCCGAAACCAAGGGAGTGCTTACTGAGCGCACACACACATTTGAGAAATGTGTGTGCCAAAAAGGGTGGCAGTCACAGGCTTAGCCTTCCTCACACAGAGCACTCCTATGCCGGCGAGCCACCGAGCGAAGGCCACAACGAATCCCCCGTTTGCATCCATGAACTGTTCCTAGTGCCAGCACAGCGCGTGTCAGCAATCTCTGCCACAGCGTATCAGCAGTACGAGGGGCAGAAAGATAAAGGAATGAATCGCCAGTTACCACAGAGGTGTGAAAGGAGACTTCACACATTCGCACACTGAGTGGATATGGAATGGGCAGCTGCCCTGCTTGGGGAGCTTACTTCCCATGGGAACATGCGATCACCTAACTGGACCAAACAGAGATTTACTACTGGAGTAAGTTTACACCTGCTTGGAAAGATTTATACTGCACTATTAAAGTGCACCTTCCCTTACCAGGACATTTTCAAAGTAATCGAGCCACATAAAATTATGGGGCAATGGATATGTGGCGAGAAAGGAGCCACAATAAACCTAGGGCTATGGGACGCAAGCATTACTTCCTAGTTACTGAAGACTAGATCTCTGAGAGTCAGATGCCTGCTTTCTCCTTGAAGCAATTAATATTCCCAGAACTCAAAGCAGCTAGCGGCCTCTGCACTGAAGCCTGTGTGACAGAGAACTGCTTTCAATACCTTAAGGAGAGTATTACCTCATTTTCCGACATCATTCCAGGGGTTATTTGGGGTCCGGTCCCAAGACAAATAGCCAAGACTTCCTCTGGCTGGACTTCCTGTATTGTCTCCTGGGAGAGTCCCTCGTGGTCTGCATGCTGGTCCATTTGAATGTTTGACCGGCTCCGGCTGCGGGTAGCTGGAAGATTATTTTTAAAAAGTCATTTCATAAAGGTCCTTGACATGTTTTCTTCCTTTTATTTAAAAAAGAGGAAGCCAATACAAACTCAGCATAACAGAGTGGCGTGTAGCTCATGCACACTGCAGAACTGGCAGGAGAGGATGAGGTGAGGCCGGGCTATGCCACGGAAAAACTCTGCATGTGCTCCCTTTGGCGGCATGTCACAGAGCCCACTCACTCCTGTGCCACACAGACCCGAAAAAGGTCCAGAGGTCAGGAACTTCAGGCATTAATTGTGCAGAAGAATGTCGGCCAGCGAGGCGTCTCTGGTTAGTGAAGTCCATGCCAGCCAGTGAGGTTTCTCTTGGCCCCGTATGAGAGCAACGAAGTGGCCAAGACACTTCTCACAACTGCCCTTGTTTCTGGAAAGTTGAAGGAATAGCAACACATTCAGGAGGGAGAAAAGGTGGGCAGGGGGGGGGGGTATGACAGCACTCTGTGAGTACTCGAAAGGCTGTCACAAAGAGGAAGGACAAGATCTCGATCATCCCAGAGTGCAGGACATCAAATAATGTGCTTAAGTTACAGGAAGCCGGATTCTGGCTAGATATCAGGACAATTTCCTCACTGTCAGAGCAGCATGACAATGGAGCCAATTACCTAGGGAGGCTGTGGGCTCTCCCACACTAGAGGCATTCAGGAGGCAAATAGCCAGTCATCTGAGAGGGATGGTGTAACTTGATGTTCTGCACTGAGCAGGGTGTTGGACCTGATGGCCATTCTTGGGTTTCTAACTCTACCATTCTGTGATTCCTTTCATGGCAAGGCGGAGGGCAGGGCGGGGGGGAGAGTGATGCTGGCTGCCGTTCAGATCCTCTATTTAGACTGCTGTTTGAACAAGACCATGCCAAAACCTTAGCATTACAAGGAATAATAGCCCTGGATAGTATCTTAACATGGGAATGCACCAAGCCCTGAACAGCCATGCCTGAAATTTCTTGCAAAAAGTATCATTAACTCTTGATCTCTTTTAACGAAATCACGATGCACAAGAGGACAAATGAACAACATTGGAACAAAGCATAAATATTTTATGCATATACACAGACAGACACACACACACACACACACAAAGAGAGAAAACTCCAGAGCTTGCCCTGCTTAGACGGACATAAATGAAGCAAAACAGGTATGAAATTTCAAGCATGACGCATTCTTGCTGGTCTTGCGGGAGAAGAGCAGCTCTCCAACTTCTGCGGCTTCAAGCAACACCAGCAGTATCATGTGGAACCTTTCCTTCAACCCATAATCTGGATCATCTCCAGCTGCAGAAGAAAGCTGCATGCCTGAATCTCCCCTGAGAAAAGGACTCCTATGTAGAAAGGTAACATGCACCAGGCTAACCCTTTCCCATTCTCACCCCTCTGTAGCCTAAAATGGTACAACCAACCCAGGAAAAACTTGGTCACTTCCATTTTCTAACTGTATAAAGCATGGCTGGCTGCTGAAATTGGGATACTAAACGGCTTTATCCAAAGGCATTTGCTCTGAGAAGTGCTTGCAAGTAAAAAAAAAAGGAACAGATTCTACACTTTTTCAAAAATGAAAGAAGACATCCAGAGAACGGGCTGCCATTTCAAAAAACCCGAAAGAGAAAAATACATAAATGGCCATTTTCAGTGGTGTGACAGACACGCAGGCCATCTCTGGAATTCTCCTTTGTGAGCCCTACCAAATAACATGGAGCAGGTAGCTTACTAGGTTGTAAACTAAACCAGCAATGAACACATTTCCTTCCCACATGAAGAAAATGTGCCCCCGGGAAAGCAACCCGGGCATGGCCCGCAGTGCGACAAAAGAAGCTGCAGCTGTGCAGAAAGGAGAGCTGAGACACTCTATTTTGTGTGGCAAAAGGGGTGGCTTGGGGTTGGAGCCACCCTTTGACCTGCCACAGACCACACTCCACTCGCCAAAAAGGAAGGGCTTTTAAAGTCGTAATTTGTTGCAATGGAAAAAATGTCATGAGGAGATCGAAGTGAGCGGCAGAACCACGGGGGTCCTGCAGACTGCGCGTTGCCCACCATGGCACTGGGCAATGCACAAGCATCTCCTTGGATCATGGATGGGCATTCCATACACATCAGGATTCCAGAATACCAGGCCTCCTTTCTTCCCTCTCTTGCTGCCATTACAAAAATGAGGTTTACAAGCAAACTCACACGCCAATTCTGACTGAACTTTTCTCTAACTCCCCGCAAAAGAACAAGCTCTTCAGAGAACAGGGCGCTAGCTTGAGAATGGAACGGAAGAAAATGTCTCCTAAAACAGCAGCTGGAGACACCAACGTGCAGGCAAAGCGTGGCTTTGTAGAGAGACATTAATGAGGAGGGAAGGATTCTGTTACCCACCAAACGGGGTTACTAGATTTATGTGAGCTGTCAGGTTGGTGGCGGACGTGTCCCAGGCAGTGATGGCTGCCAGCTGTTGTCCTGAGTCGACAGCATTAAAGAGAAACAAAAGTCAAGCCATTGGGTGAAAGAGAAAATGGAACAGTTGTAAAAATCAATGTATATGCGCACACAGTTCATTGGAGAATTGCTTGACGCTGGAACAGCTCTGGCTTTGCGACCATTCTGGTTGCCAGCAGGGCTGCATATATAAGGCGAAGTTTCACAAAAGAGCAGAAAAGCCAGAGGATATCTCTGGTACAGACACCAGAAATATGCATCGTTGGTTGGCTATGAAGACAGGCTTGCAAACGAAGGACAATTTTTCAGAGAAGCTGCTGAATCAGACTCCCAGGGGACATGGCAGGAGAAGCCCAGTCCCCCACTGCCCTTTCCCTTGCACCCAGAAGATGAGTTTTTGCAGTTAACCAGTCTTTGTTTTTAATGAGTGCTGAGTACCCACAGCACTGAGCTTATCCAGGAGCAGTGTAGCCTACACAAAAGCATTTTCTTCTGCCCAACTGTAAGAAGGGAGATATATAGTCAAATAAATACTGAATACATTGTTTTGCTTTTGAGGATTTGGAAGCAAGCAATTGTATACGATGCCACTGAGGGCCCAGCTGACGTGGCAGGCATGCGCAAGGCCACCCTTATACGGAGACACACCAGGATGACTCACACGCCATAATGACGGCTGGGCGAGAACTGTCTTCCAAGCACCTGCTATTTCCACTTTGCATCCAGTTCGATCAAGAACCCTCCCTAACCCAGAGTTTTAGGTGCATACATAACATCAAACAACCTAGGAATGAAACACCCTGAGGTTCGCTGATGAAACCGAATGCAAAGCAGAAGCTGCACGCACGCTGGGAGCTGGTGGCTCATTCCTCCAGGACAGCCCTGATTATCAGCTGTACCATGTGAACTGGGCCACTGGCACACAAGACAAGGTGAGAAAAGGATCCTGAAGCCAAAAGAAATGCCTTTAAAATCAGAGGCATGGTCACAACAGACACCGATGCCCCAGCCTTCCTCACCAATAGGCAGCCGGTTCTTTTTGTTGGCTGGTGTGGTTGCCGGAGAGAGCTGTGGGGTGTTGTAGGGAGTTATTTCCAAGCTGCTGCTCTTCCCGGGCTTGTTCTGGGGTAAATTTAACAGTAGGTTTTCCAGAGCCATCCGGTCTTCCTTCAGCTGGTCACTGGACATGACATTCCGCATGAATGCAACCTAAAAACACAACTGTTATTAGAAGGCAGGAAAAGAGAAGTATATGTCTCCTCTTTCTAGCAGCTCTAGATGGAAGACTTTTGAAACAGAGTCCTTTCCTTGAGCTAGGCAGAGCTTTTGCGATACAGTGTGCTTCAAAATGAGGTTATTCTCAAGTAGCATCAGTTAAAGCAAGATTTCCTCCAGTTCTGGAAGCAGCTCTTACCCACGTGAATCATGTGAAGAGTTGCTTCCAAACTCATCCCTTCCTTTCCCAAAAGGACTGACTCCTCCCTCAGGGAGGTTTGCACTGCTTGTGGGCCAGTCAGTGGTGATCTCAAATGTCACTTGATTAGGCTGCTCATGCGGCTTGACACCGACCCATTGGGTTAACAAATTCACACCCCTCCTCCTCAGACCACTCTGTTTTAGTGTCCCCCTGCAGAGCTCAAGGTGCTTTGATTCTCAGCAGCTGTCAAACCAATTCTTGCTCATTAGCCTTGACATTTCTATGCCACATTCCAACTCCTCCCCCCCCCATCTAATTCCGAGTCTGTAATGCTGTGTTTTGAGAGAAAGGGCTCCATCTCTGCACAACATACACTTCTACACGCACGCACGCACACACACACACACACCCCATGCATGTAGACCCCCAATTTCTCTTTCTGCAACCCCCAAGCGCTTTGATGTTTACCAGAGCAGTGAGCTGCCCATAGGTCATGTAAATCACAGTTCTACTCAGTCCTTCCAGAAGGTTAACTGAAGACATAGGAGGGGTTTCCACAGCCCGCCCACCGATGACGACATCCAAGAAGGCGGCCACACAGCCCTTCAAGGAAGAAAGAGGAACAAATGAGCCATTTCAGTACCAGAACCCCAGGAAGAGACGGGTGCATTGCTAACAGAAGGACGTGTGCTTTGGCTTCACACACTCAGCACCTATAAATAAGTTTTCAAAGGTTAAGAAGATAAAGAATGAAAAAGAATGCTGTTCACCACCTATATACAAATGTGCTGCAATTCATCTGCATTTAAGGCCAGCTGCTGGGCAGTTACAGTTGATGGGCTGGATCCAGGAACTGCCTCCTGAGAGGAAGCACCAGCTGAAGGAACCCGCCTGCGGAAGGCCCCAGGCGGTCTGGAATCCCATCCCACACATACTACAGCTCACCCCAGTTCAGCTGGGTCTCTTGACTGTGCCGCACTCTCAGGGAGGTGGGGTGGCTGCAGGGGGAAGGAGCAGAAGTCTCCCTCCACCAATACTGTCGATCCACTTTCCATCTGGATCCCACCTTCTACCTGCAAACGCCTGCTTTCCTGAAGCTGCCGTACGCTTCCCCTTTTCAAGAATGTGTCAGGTATGTGCCGACATGGAGATATGGTAGTTGTGGCTCTTACTTTGTCGAATTTACCCAGGCTGCTTTTCACGCGGGGATCTCCTTCCTCGGAAACAGTCATGGCCAGTTGCTGTAGCAGTCTGCCAACCTACAACGAGAAGCCAGTGGAGCAAAGGATGAAGCACCGCCACTTGGGAAAAGAAGAAGGGGTCCCTCAAACTGAAGTGCAATGAAGGAGAGCTACTCACATGCCACCAACCCAAAACATGAGATGTTGCAAGAATCTTCCCCTCTCCACCACCCCAAACGGGGCAAAAATATTTTCTATGGAACCTCTGCCGGAAAATGCCCATACCGCGCTTCTGACATCCCACCGAGAACACCTGGCACCTCCCTACAACTCCCTTGTTTTTCAGTTCTCTCATCTTAGCTACAAGAATGCCGTGCTTTATTGCGCTTACTCATCTTGCTTTCAGCATTGGGAACATCCGCATGGCCAGTTTCCTGTTAAGTAAGCCATCAGCGGCAGTCTGAATGTTGCCTGACAAACCAGCCCGTGCATATTTGATCGGTACCAAAAGATGATGCTCTGAGTGCTCCGTGTGGTTTTCACACGGACATGGTGGGGACATTTGGCAATAAGTTTCACATTCAGTCAGCTTTTATTATCTAGAGTTGAAATGAACCAAAAGGTCACTGAGAGCAACAGTCTATCTACTCGCCTCCTTTAGCAGTATTTGTAGAAACACACAATTCCCAGTATGTCTCCTAGTTATGCTGAATTTTCAATATGCTGTGCCCATTTTCTGTATAGGGCCTATACAGACAGGAAAGTCAGTGGGACAAGGACCTTACAAGACCCAAAAAGGGGGAAGAGATTTTTCTGGGCACAGAGTCAAGAGTTTCAAAAGCATCTACCAGTATGTCAGGTAAGATTTAGGGTTAGGCTCTGGTTTCTACAAACCACTGGTCACAGAGGGAAAGACCAGAGAGAGCCTGTACTCCTTCCTCCCAGGAGGAATGCTGTAAGACCTATGCGGCCCCACAATTTGGCCAGGTGCAGGGAAGCCGTTCTGCCAGCCACAAGAGCCCTGCAGCGCAGTACTGGTGCCCGAGTTTTTCTTGATTTCCTGCCCTGCCTCTCCATTCCTTTTCCTTTTTAATTCCTCCTTCTAGAGTGTAACCCTAAGGACAAGAAATGTCTCCATAATCCCTGCAAGCTACTCTGGGAGCCTAATGGAATTAAAACACCATAAATAAATAACAGAAACAAAGAAAGCAGCAATAAAACTTGTGTTGCTTTGCTGAGCCAAGTGCAATGCCCAGTGGCAGCCCCTCAACGGGCAGGGTGCAGATCCCTCCCTCCTGTAAGGATAGGCACTCAGCCACTCCAAACGCAACGGACAAGTTTCTAATTCTGAAGAGGCACCGATCAGGTGTGCCGAAGCACCTGCTTACCTACAGCCGGTTTAGAAATGGGGCAGCTGAGCAGTGCCCAACCAGCCATCAGTTCTGTGCAGGCGAAGCCTCTCCCTTCTACCCATTTGCCCCGTCTGCCAGGCAGCACCTGACTGCCTAAATCTGATCGCACGTGCCCTCGTGCCTTCGGCTCTGCAACTCTAGCACTCATCCCTCCTGACACACACACGCGGGAGAGGGAGAGGGAGGACAGCAGGAAAAATAATATAACGTGCCACATGTCTCTGTGTTTTATTCAGGTGATGCATTTGCCTTACGACTGACCGACGGAACAGCCCCCATCACACTCCTAGGAGAGTATGAGATGCCACCAAGGTCTTGTGGGAGCTCAGGAAGTCATGGAGCTGAAAGCTTTGTGTAAAGAGCTCCACAAGAAGCGGAAAAAACCCCAATGCTTCTTCCAGAGAGTTAAGTCTGAAAAAACAGGGCGCAGGATTCAGAACTGGGGATAGAAGCGCTGCAACTAAATGCAGAAATAAAAGGCAGAAATAAAAAGCACCCAGGAAAGTACTGAAGGTGTGCAGAGCGTTGTAAAGAATAAAATGAAGATGAGACAGAGAACAGAGGCCATTTAACCAGCCCTGCGGAAGGAACTCCCCCTTCGCTCCCGATTCCTTTCTCCACCTGTGTCATGTCTTTTTATATGGCACACATGAAGGCGGGACACTGCCTTGATAAAGAGTCGCACGCTATAGCCTCTAGGGCTGAGAAGCAGCTGAAAGACGCTGCACCAGAAACAAGCAGAGGAGGAGGTGATACCTGCATCAGGTTGAAGCGTGCCACTTCATTAATTGGGGCATCAGAGATAATCCCATACTGCTCGGGGTTGACCACTGCCGGACAAATGAAGCAGGCCAAGAGGAGGTCCGTGCACATGGCTCTCACTTCCCCGACGTCTAGCCTGTCCACACACGAGAGTGTTTTGTACATCTGCGACACAATCCACCGCAAGCTGTGTGGAAAGCAGTAGGTGTTCTGCTTGAGGTAACTGATGAACTTGTTCACCAGGGCCACCAGCTTGGCCTCGTTCGACTCCACCATCTCCTGGACCTTCTGCTTGAACTTTTCGGTGCCCTTCTCCCCAAAGAGCTTCTCCTGCTGGGTGGGCGAGAAGCGGTCGATGAGCTTGCTCGGGTCAGTTTCCAGGTGGTCTTCGTCCTCGACCAGCAGCTGCATGATGGGTTCGTGCAAGGTGGCGGTGAGGAAAAGCTTGGCTGAAAAGAGCCCCTCAGAAAAGAGTTTGAACAGGATGCTGAAGGCACACGTGCCTCTCCTCAGCAGCCGCCTGGGGTTATCGCTTTCCTTGAGTTCGAACTCGATCAGGTAGCGCAAGACCTGGAGGAGGTAGCTTTCGTCTTCCGGCATGATGCAGTTGCCATAGATGGAGGTGAAGACCATATGAATGATGCTTTGCGCGTTGTCCTGGTTGAGCTTCTCTCCGGCCACCAAGCAGGACGCAATGAGGCGAGGGTTCTCCCGCAGCCTGTTGAGGAACTCCCCGTAGGCCGTCTCCTGGAAGCCCAGCTGCTTATACCCATCCACAAACTGCGTGTCCTCCAAGACCTTGGCATGCTGGCAGCATTCAGCAGGCGAAGCTTCAGCACTAAGCAACAAAGAAAAATACAGCAGTCAAACCACAGTGCAAAATTGCGCCTGGAACTTCAGAGCCTCAACGTTTGCCCGAGTGACTGTTTCAAAGGCACGAAGGAAAAGAGCATCTTCTAAATTTGGTTGAGCCCAACCTGCCATGCTTCTCCCCTGCAAAGGAGATGGGCCACCGAGGCGCAGCTAGGCTTCTCAGCAGTTTGCCGCAGGGCCCTCGTACGCTCCCGGGCATTCCTCCTTCCTGCTCCGCTGGCAAACAGAACGAGCGCTTCCCAGACTGGACTCAGTCTCCGCGTCACGCAGGGATGGGCTCAACCAGGTTAAAATGCCAGTAGGCGCATTGTGGCTGCTCCACCTGAGCACCTGACAGTGCCCCAAAGGAGGGAATCTGCCCAAGGTTCCCAAGACCTGAATATCCGAAGGAACGTCTCCATCCCTGCAAGCCTACCCTGACCTTCACCTTCCCTGGAAGTGCTGCTTCGGGAGCCGCTTTTAAAGCATGCTGGGAAGGCGGCTATCTGAGGTAGGTCCTTTTCCGTTGTGGTGCCCCACCTGTGGAATCAGCTTCCACAGGTGTGAGCCAGGTACCTTCTTTGTATACATTTTGGCCCCAGGCAAAGACTTCTTTTATTTTCAGAGTATTTGAATTGTTGACAGTTTCCATTCTAATTTAATTTTAGTATTCATTGACCTAATTGACGAATTTTAATATTTTAATTGTTATTTATAAGATACTGTCCAGTCTGTCAGTATCTGATGTCAACATGGTTGGTGCGCTTGTTGTTGGAATGGATGTTTCTACCAGCACTGATGTTTTACTACTGATACTTTATTATTGAATTTGATGACATGTTGGGTTTTTAATTTTGTTCATAGTTTTTAACTGTGTAAACTGCCCCAGAGAGTCATATGGCTACTGTGACAGTCTATAAAAACGTAAATAAATAAATAAAAAAGATTCCCCTGTGAGGCTGCTCCCTCACAGCAGGGTGAAGTGACCAAATGCACGGCTATTGCTCAGTTTACCAGCAAACTGTACTAACGACAAGGCTTTGTGCTGGTCAGGCAGCTCTGCTCCTAGGAGTAGGGGAAGGAGGGTGAGGATTTACATTCTTGAGGTACCATCCACTACCTTGTTATGATCAGTCGGTCCAAGTTGATTCTCTGTTGCTTGGAAATCCATGCTGTGCGGTACAGCTTTTCAGCAGTCTTCAGCACCTCAGCATTCAGCCTCTGGATCAGCTGCTTTTCGGAGTTCACGTAGAGCCGTTCCTGCTTCAGGTGATGAGCCAACGTGTGGATGTCTAGCTTCACCATCTTTCAGCGGGTCAGCAGAAGAGCAAGCTGCAGCTTCTTGAGAAAAGGAAAGAAGTAACAGCATCAGTCTCAGCTCTCCTAAGTCAACACACAGGGCTTTCCTGGTGGTAGCACCCCAACCATGCAGTCTCAAGGAATGCTTGGATTTGGATTTGGATTTTGGATTTATATCCTGCCTTTTTCCTACAAAGGGTTCAAGGCAGCTTACATCATTCTCCTCCTGCATCTTATCCCCACAACAACATCCCTGTGAGGTAGGTTGGGCTGAGAGTCTGTGACTGGCCCAAAGTCACCCAGTTGGCTCCATGGCTGAGTGGGGACTCGAACCCAGGTCGTCTGAGTCCCAGTCCCATGCTCTTAACCACTACACCGCACTGGCTCTCCCTTCTATTTTTCTGTTGACGTGATAAAATTAATCAAGCAAGCAATCAGTGACATCTGTTTCAAGTCTCTGCAAACTGCCACTTCCCGATGTTTTAAACCATAACTTACTGTTTTGTTATATTACTTTGTTTTTAACTATCATTTGAAAAGGAAAACACATGACATATTTTTAACTAAACCATTCCAGCCTAAAAATCTACACACATGGGTTCCTGAGATACAGCAATTTCCCCTCATTCCTTCCTGTTTTAATACCTGAACAAACTGAACCTTTGAAAACAGATACCATTTTGATCTGTTTGCTATGCCCTTGCGAAACAGAAACTTTGGACAAGCTTTCACAAAAGTTTTGTTCTAAAACGGCAGGAGTAAATACATGCTGAATTGCTGATACTTCACAAAGGAACAATTTAGTGGAAAGGAGAACCATCCTGCCCTTTATGCTAACTTAACTTCCTCAGAACACACATTTACACAACTTCATGTGGGATGATTCAGTCCACTAAGAGGCGGGGGCAGGGGGGGGGAGCTTTTCAATGCTACCTCGAGCACAATAAAAATAAAGGCAGACCCGCAAACCTGTTCCAACCTTTAAGTGGAACAGGCTTGGCAAAGCAAAGGGATACTGAAATAAAGATGCCTTCGTCAGCCAAAGAGGCAACAAGCCCTAGTTCCTGGGACAAGGGAGCAGTGTCCTGGCACCACCAACTTGCCAAGACATTTAAAAAGGGAAGCTCTTCCTGCTCTTGGGGAATGGGTAGCTTGGCACGGGAGGAAGCGATGCTTCGGGGCCCTGCCCACCTTATGCTGAGGCACAGCGTTGGGCCTGCTAGCCCTGCGAGGTGTCCTGACAGGAGGATGCTCTTCAGCGTCCTAAGCAGGAGTCCTCTCCAGGCCTGCTGCCTAAGAACCTTTCCTCAGCTTAAACAGCAGGATTGGCAGAGCGCGTGCTGCACCACGGAGCTATGCCCTTTCCCCCAGCATACAAAGTAACCCTTTCCCACTGAGCTATGAGCCTTCCAACAAAAATAGGCTATCAAAAAATAAACTTGCTCCCTTTCAAAAATAGCTGCTTATGGAATGTGGCAAAGAGCTATCAGTGTGGTAGAAAGCTACCTGAATAAGCCTGTTTGGACAGAATAAGAGACGATAGTCCAACGGCACGTCACATGTGATTCTGTACTCATTAGTTCGTAACCACGTGGCCTTTCTGCCACGCTGGATTTGTGGCATCCCCACTCACGCATTAACCCGGAACATGCTACATTCATGCGCGAAGGGGGACATGAGGTTGCAGGGGCCAGTCCAGGCCCCTGAATGGTCTGGAAAAGCACTCTACTCCCTATTGCTTGACTGCGAGCAGAATTCCCCCTAGTCAAGCACCTGGATTGCTCCGTTCTGCAGAATATCTAGATAGCGATGTTAAAGGGTGACTTACACAGTATTCAATAACTTGTAAGTGGCTTCATGAATGGCAAAAAAGGTGAAAAGAATCAAAACAAGAGTCACGAGCAGCCACTGGTGAGTCTCAAGCTGGATATGAGAAGTCTGAACGGACGGAACCATCTGAAGGCATAATTACTGGAGGAACGCAACTGCAAACCTCAGCCCCTCACCCGGAAAGAATTATGCCACATAATCATTCAGCCTTTGGAGCAGGATAGAGAAGCCTGGTAGCTAATCAAGCCAGCTCCAAACTATTTCATCTTGGCACACGAGAACATAAAAATATGTTGGCATCCACATGCATGCAACTTAATGCTGAAGCCTGAGAAGGAGACCCAGCTTCAGCCCTACCTCAAGATTTTTTGCTGTCCGAGGCTGAGAATCCACATCCCTCCCTCCATTAACATATAGCACAACACACTGGGAAGTTCTCCTGGGAAGTCCCCGCCAAAACAGAGTGGAAGCTGGGTAAAAGCTTGACTGAGTTCCCATTCACTCCAGAGTCTTGTCCTCCTACACAAACCCCACTGAAATTTGAGGGAGGCACAGAATTACTGTGCATTCCCAGATCAGATACGAGTCTTTCAACTCTACTATACTGTTGAACTGCTAAAAAACAACTTCTGTACTCCTTCCACTTTTACCAGTACAATACAGATAAAAGCAATAAGGCTAACTCTGTCCAGAAGTTAGAGACTAGAGATAAATAAAAAAACAAGAAACCAAGGTGTGTACTTTTTAAAAAGCAAGCTTGCATGAATAACAGTGACACTTGAATTCAATTAAATGGGAAGCCCCAGAGGAAATTAAAAAAAAACAGTTGTCAAGAGAGGACTGTGTGCTTTGGTCTCACTTTCACCACTGCCAAAGCAGAAAGAACTGGAAAATCTTCCTGCTAAGTCACGTCAAGATACAGAAGTCAGTGGTAGTTCTTTCCTTCTTTAGCTTCTCACAGTAAATAGTACAAATGTGTTTACATGCTGCAGTTGTGTCATGCTGGAAAAACAGTTGACTGTACTCCTTTTCAAGCGAAAGTGATAGGAAATGAGTTGGCAGCTTCTAAAAAATAGGATTCCCACTGGCATCAGCTTTTGAGTGTAACTGCATGAAAACGTGAGGTTTTTCTGTTGGGCATTCTTCCATAGTGGTTTTGCACAGCTTGGCCTGATCCAGGGTGCCCTTTCTTATGTTCCTGCCATTCTGCATGCAGATTCCATTTCCCCACACACATCCACCACCCTGCATGGCCATTCTGCTGGATTTCAGTATCAAAAAGACACGAAACTGCGTGCCCATTCTGCTGCCTTTAAATTAAACCCATTGCCAGGAATGGGACCCCTGTCGGGATTAACTTGTCCTACTGATTCCAGTGGGTCTTCTCTTACATGGCCACACTTCGCACCCACGCAGTGTTAATCTGGAGAGGCGAGCTGCCTGCGTTCTGGAGGACCACAAGCCCATGCGGTCCCATTCCTGGCCGTAGGAGCCGAACATCTCTTGACAAATTACCAGCTTCATCCACTTCTTCAGCAGTTTACTTCAGAATCAACTCACTGACACCTTCTTGGCTACAGAACAGCTGAACATGTAAAGCACAAAGACATTCTCCAAAGCCGCCTTTCTCCAGAGAACCCTTTTCTACCTTGACTGTGAGAGAAAACCAGGCACACGGTTTATATTAAGCTGAGAGATTCAGATGCTATTTTCCAGCAGAAAGTCTTCCAAGGGGATACATTGATTTGTCCACGTCATTGCATGTTGATTCTGTTTTTGGAAAGATGTCACAACAGTGCCCATAAGGGGTTGGTGAAGCCTGTTTTGCAGGCCAATGGGGTCCGTGGTTCTGAGTGGGCTAATCTATATGCAATTATCAGCATAACGCCCACTGGCAGGGCACACGGTCCAGGACTACGTGCAGAGAGAGGGCTTGTTATTTATGACAGATACACTGCTATCAGCCTAGATGGCACCTTGGTGAATTTCACAGGAAAAACAAACACCAGACAAGTCCCTGTGCTGGCCGCATTCATGATGCATTCCAAGAACAATGAGTAATGTTGACTTTGAGCTCTGCTGCCCAGACCCAGGAGGAAACCTCTCGCAGGCCCTCAGAAAGCTACTTTCCCCTGGAAGCTTTCCTCTCCGAGTCGATGGGCTGCAGAGGGCCGTGGAGGGCTCACCAACTGATGCAATCACAGGCCGCTGGGCCCAAAGCAAGCCAAGACACCCTTCCCCTGGAAACAATCCATCTACCAATCCACATGAAATGTATCTCAAAACCAATCCGAAAGCACTCCAGTTATGCTAACTTGTTCCAGCATTCATGTGGAAGGCTCTACTACAAAAGGAAATTTTATTACTAATTTGGGTTCTACAAAAAGCACTCGCCTTTCTAAGCAAAAGATTGCTTCCTCGTTAACTCTGGCACCACTCAATTTTGCCAGGCCTACAAGTTAGTCATTTGCTTAGCCGCTTGTGGCAAGTAAGAATTCACACAAGGAAATTAGCTGGAGGAACTCCCACAAATGGGTTCTTTTCCTTTCCTTGTCAAGTTCCCCAAAGATGAGCAGGGTTTGCAAGGGCAGGCAGACAGGCAACTTCAGCAACTGACGAGCAAGACTGAAATCGACGTGCACAGAAACTGGCTGGCCCAGAAGCTTGTTTTTGGAACAAGGCTGCTGGCATCGGGGGGGGGGGAAAGAGCCACAGGCCCCGAGGGCTTGGCTCGCCTTGAACTTTGATACTGGCTCCAAACTGGCCGTTTATCCACTGGGCAAAGGCAGTATTTGCTTACTGGTCCACATAAGCACCCATCTGTAATAGAGCGCAGTACAACGTACCAATATCAATTAAACAGAAGCCTTAGCAATGGCACGCCTCCTGGTGTCAAAATTGTGGCACCGATGAATCAATCGTGCTGCATACAAAGTTGAAACATCCTTCCAGCCCTGCAGTTACAAACTTAGGAGTATGTACTTTTCCGAATGATGTGAGTAAGAATGAAAGCAGAAAAACAGGATGTGAAGGCAGGGCAGGGGAGAGCCAGATTTCAGCATGCTTCAAGGTTTGCTACCTCTCGAGAGAAATATAACCGCATCTTTAGCACTTCCATTTAAACCAATGTGTTCGACTGTGGCTGCATTGCACCCGTGGCATGCATGACCAATGATGTTTCCTGAAACTCTGCAAGAAATTCAGCTCTCATT